ATATATATATATATATATATATATATATATATATATATATATATATTACTGAAATCTCGTTAACAGTCCAACATGGTATATTCACCTAACTTGCTAACCTAACACAATACAAAGGTGCCTCGTGACATTTACTGTCTTGAATACATTTTATTCTTTGTTTTCGACATCAATGTGTCCAACACTCTCTTGGTCAAATCAATGGCCTTGCAGGCTTGTTTTGGGTATCCAACACTTTGTTGGTCAAATCAATGGTCTTGCAACCTTTATTTCGACATATACATCATACCAAACACTAATATTACTTTATATATTTTGGAATGAAAATAAAAATTTGCGAAAGCGAATGTGGGTTCATGAATATTATGAATATCGACTCCAATGAACGCACGTTTTTCAAACGCCCTTCTTAGACCTACAATCAAGTCCGTTACTTTTTATATAATGGCTGATCAGTTTTGGACCTTCTTTGTAACCGTGGATGTCGAGATCAGCTTATACAACCCTCAACTAATCTCATGGAGCAATTAGGATCCTACATATAACAGCTATGAAAATCACCATTGGCCCTAATAAGACTGTAGCTAACAACCTATAAAGAAAAGTCTCGAGACGACTTTTATTTACCAATTGAGTCGGTGGTCAAGGTTATCAGCTTTGGACTTCACTATTTGCTTATCTCGTTTTGGTTCCATATTAGAGGGTGTTATATTATACAAACAATAGTTCTAATCGTAGGCAAAAAAAAATCTCCAACGTAACAATTAATGCTTGAAATGGTTTTTGAGTCGTGATGTTCCTCTGTTGTTCTCTTATCGATAAATGTATTTTCTTTTTTTATTAAGTGAAATATGAAATAACATATTCGTAAATGCAATACGTATAATAATAAGTTTACTAAAATTTCTTTGTAGAAGTCGTTAGTTTGAGTCTGTTTACGGCTACAGGTATTTTTCAAGTTATGATAACTTATCAGAACCTGTTTATGTATAAGGTGGCCTGAAACATCCATAACTACAAAAAAATGACATACAAAAAAGTTTTAAAGGTTAAAATACACCGATCATGTATTAAAAAAGTTTATTGGATTTTTTTATACAGTGTCAAATTTGAATCATGTATTAACCAATTAGGTATAGATTTTTCCGAGCATATACATCAAATCTAAGTCGATTTTAATTTAAAAAATAATTTTTCCGTACAAATATTTTTTTTGTGTTTCAAGTAATGTAACTCTATCATTCGATGACTTAATAAATGGTTTGGATATCTCAATTGTTGTATTATGTCATAACTTAATAAACCAGATCAAACCAACTTCAAAAGATTAGAAGGGTTGTTTACCTTACGCTTACCCGGGTAAATGTTTACCGGCAAAAATCAACACTATCATTTACTTACCTGATAAGATTTTAATTAACGAAAATGGTATCCTACGCATCAATTTACCCAGTAAACGCTAACCATCAGTCACCGCATTCACTTACCTGGTAAGACTCTCGGTCCTTGTCTTCGCTCTTTAACAGTAAGATTTTTGGTCTTTACCATATGCATCCAATAAAATAAATGTGACTTGATAAGCACTTACTCGGATAAACGTTTAGTAAACGACCTCTTATATCTTACCTTTACTAAATTGTTTATGTAAATACTCCAATTTGTAAGAGAATTTGAAAACCCAATTACAAAAATAGACAAAATTAGTCCTTAAAATGGACACACATTATTTTGCATGACCAAAATACATAATCTAAAATGGATAAGGATCTACGGTCCCGATCAATTATATTGCATTTTTATCCATCAATCATATTAATACACATTATCTGATAGAGGATGTAAACTTTTAACAAAATAAATCTAAAAGTATATAAAAAGTTGTAATGTGTTTTTATTCATAATAAATCAGGCTTCAAATACTCTCATTATATGCAATAAACCTTAAATTAAACCATATATTAAAAACTTATAAAAGCCTGTTAGTTGAAATTTCCCATTCTGTGTACGTATGTATGCGTATCATTCCAATCAAGATTTATATCCAATTCCTATCAATTGACCACCACACAAAGGGTATAAATACTTGACCTTACCGTACCGGTCCCACGGTTATCATTGTGCGCCGATAGCAGGTGGTGGTGGGACCCAGTTCAAACTCGGGACCTCCACCCATCCTATCGCTGAGACGATACGGTAGGAACAAAAAACTAACCGATAATTTACACAATGTGACAAACTCCCAGCTCCTACAAACTGCGAGATAAATACATCGTAATGATGCAAGCCTACTAAAAACCAGCTTTGTCGGGTCTCTACGACACCAAACGTTACCTCTTTTCTTGTTCGCTTGAAGTGGTGCCGGGGCCTAAAGAAGCCTGATCGTCTTTTTGGTCTTTGCCGCTAGTCGCAGTCGGCCCACCACTTCCGTTTAAGCAGCTAGCCATTTCCTTTGCCTCCGAGGGGGTCGGTGAGGATGTGGGTCCCATTTCGTCCTCGATGGGAAGCATCCGTTTTGAACCCTCTAAAGCCACACCTAATACGATGTTATCATCCAATGCAGATGATCGTGGAGTAACCGGCTTCTCTCCCTCCTGCTTTGTATTACTACTCGATGATGGTGATGGTGATGATGATGATGACGATGTTTCTCCATCTGGGTTTGCTGCTGAGTTGTTGCGAACCGAGGTAGTGGGTCCGACATTCGACGTCTTGAGTTCGGAAGTTGGCTTTGGACTAGGATCTAGTGTGGGGTCTGAAGTTGTTATGACCTTAGCATCTTTCTCTTCAGGGTTACTAACGGGTCGAGATGAAGGGTTAGTTTTATCATCTCCGTTGATCTTATAAGAAGGCTCTATCAGTAGGAACGGACGGTTAGCAGCTGCTCGGTTACGAGTGAATATATCAGAAAGTGGAACGTCATCAATATCAGCATCACGGTAGATTCTCTGCACTGTACGAATGGGTGTGGCAAGACGAGCCCGGTGATGGCTGATTACTCTCAGGAGATCCAACAATATAGCTTCCTGTTTTTAGATTGAACACAAGTACATCAAGAATGCCAACAGCAAAAAAATGAGGTTATCACAAAGCAAAGAACTACAGATGGGGTAGGGTAGCTGATCGCTTGTAGGACTGTGTAGATGGGGGAGGGTGGTTAGGCAGGGGTGGGGGAGGGTGGAGAGTCTTCAGATAGGTTCACAGTATCTTCTGATAGGGATAGGGAGTCTCTTTGATGTGTTGCACGTGCTTTTTAGCTAGGTAAGATCTATACGTTCTTTATAACAGGACCGGATGGGGGAGAGTGAGGTAAACAAGGTTTTAGGATATTAATTTGACATGGGCAGTTTAATAATTTATCAATTTTGTCCCATCTGGTTGATTTTTGTTTCACCAATTTTGGTGGAACAAAAAAAATGCATTTTTGTCCTAATCAGTCCCGTTCAGTCCCGGTCTATCGTCGCACCAAAATGGGACTAGTTATATGGCTTTCAATTGTGCTTTCTATTTGTTTTACTTACCTTTTATGCAAGTCGGGGGGTCATTTTGGAAACAGCTTAGGGGCTGTTTGGTTGGTTTTCCATTAAGTTCTATATGGATAAAGTTGTGTGTGTAGATTAATTTGTCTGTATAAATTGGGAAGGTTTTTGTTTTGGAGGGTTTTTCATAGATGGAATGAGCATGTTCTTTAATTGGGAAGGCAGGTTTGAAAAAAAAACTTGGTTTCTGCATAAAGCTCCCCTCTAGAAGCTTACTAGATAAGCTACTCTATATCATTGAGCCACTACCAAAGAGTCATGCATAGCTGACTGAATAATCTATGAGTCCCATTAAGCTCATTAAGCTGCTAATAAACAGGCCCTTAGACAGAGGTAAGGTTTGTGTACATCCTACCTCAAGACCCTACCTTAGGGTGGGATATACCAGGTTGGTTTGTTATAATTTGATTTAATAAGAAAGCAAAGAACTCTAACCTTCACACCAAGATATTCTTCAAAATGTGATGTTTTCACAAAGCAAGAAACCATAATCTGTCGAACAAAAACAAGGACATAGAATATAATATTAGCAACTAATCATTTATATCCTTGCATCAGAAATAAATGTAACACCAGTACTGTAGATAACGAACGTACAAAAGAGCCTGATTTTCAGGGTCAAACAAAAACTACAAAGACTAATTTTCAGCCTGATAATGAACATACAAAAGAGGTAGATGGTGTAAAACAAAAAGCCTTCCATTTTTATTTAAAAACTACTTACCAAAAGAGCCTGATTTTCAGGGTCAACATTGTCCAGGAACACTCGCCTATGCAGCTTTTGCTGCTCCACTTGAGGATTTTTGGCCAAAACCTTGCGCATATCAGCCACAATATTCTGCGCCCAAAACATAAGCCAATAATTTAGAGTAAATGCATGAAACAGTTCAACCAAGCATACTGCAACAAACCAACCCAAACGAACCAAGTAAATACATATGGAAACCATAGGTTTATAAAATGAAACAAACCCAACCAAATCCCACATGTTAATATAGTCACCATAAGAATACTACTCACATTAATTTTGTTGACATCCAAGTGGCTGATAGCAAGGTGAGTCTTGATGCGCCAATGAGTTTTTTGGCTCAGATTTCTCACCACATTCACTGTGAATTTATGGTTTGGGATGTGAACAGCTTCACGATCATCACCTCTTATGATTGTTGGGGACCACCAACCCACATGCTGAAGCAACAAAAGATGTGAACAAGATCACTGACAGAAAAAGGTAGGTACACCAAGTATTGCACAGTTGTAATTATCAGGTTAGTTAAAGTCAGCAGCCTTCTAACTAGTGCTATGTTTGGCAAACTAACTGATAAGCTAGTTGTTGGCTGATAATAGCCGAAAAACTAGCTGTTGGCTAATAAGTTAGCTGATAAACTAGTCATGTTTGGTGAAACCTAGTTGATAAGCTAGATGGCAATGTAAAATGACCTAAAAGGACATGATGAAAGATTAATTGGGAAAAAAATGGAAAAAAGACCCTGGAGCTTATTAAAACATCACTTTAAGTAGCTGTTCAAAAATCTAGCTTATGGCTAACTAAACGCCGGCCAAACATGGCTTGACTAGATGGTGGAGAGAGAACCGCCAGGAAATATACATGTGTGTGAGCTATCTTAAACACTTCACTTTTTCAAAAAGATTGCTGTTTATTTCTCCTCTAATATTATGATACCAGGACTATGAAGACATGTAAGACGGAAGAAATGAGCGAAAGGATGTACAAGCATGCATGGATGGCAACAAATCCTTGGTTTATTTTTATAAGTTTATACAGAAAATACATACCTCAACTGTACCAGAGACTTCGTACCCCTCAATTTTTGTTTGAATCCATTCATTTAGTACGAACGGCCTTGTTGCATGGATCATTACGCTTGAAAGGAAATTTGTAAATATCTACAAGAAAATTACATTAAATAACCACTAATAGCAACAAAAGAGTCTGAAATAGCTAAACAACATAGTCAATTAGTCATTGTAGTGTAGTAGGCAAAAGAAGTCTGCAAAAGGAACGAGGTTCTACCTCACGGCCTGCAAGCGTTAGCAATACAGTACCAAGCCCTCCAGCTGTGACCCACTTCTGAGTAGAGAACCCCAGCAACTCCATGAATAATGAAACAGATGCAACCCACACTGCAGAATAAACAGCTTTTCCAGCAAATTCATAACCCATCTGTAGACAAAAAGATAAAAAGGAAAATAGAAGCTTAACAGCAATTTCATAACCTGTCAGAATAAAAGCAGCAAAAAAAACTATGCTACACCATACTTGTGAGATGAGTTATTCTGAGACCACAATAGCTTATCTTTTCCAGTTAAATTCATAAACTTATATTAGAATGCAAAACAAGATTCCCCTGGTTCGTATGGTATAACAATACTTTCATATGTATATTCATAGTTCTTGCATAGTGTTGGTATCAAGCAATTCCAAAGAATTTGGATATACTAGAGTCATGGAGACATACAGTTCTTGCATCGCCAGGATCTTTTTTCTCCGCAAAGAATTTTTGTGTTTGCTGTATCAAGCTGCCAAAACAAAATATGGCATTGTCTAAACATCAAACAATGAGATGGAAGTCATAAACCATATCCAAACAATTGGATAAATTATTCAACATGCTGACTTCCAGCAAAGAGGCCTATTAAGGTGAGTAATGACCCAATAAGTCATGTTTTATAAAAGGGAGCATAGCTTACAAGTTGCAACCAGCATCACACACACACAGCGGTAAAGAACGGCCTACTTGTGACCCAAGAGGCGAAGAAAATAAATCATTCTAAGAAAAAGAAGTCTAGAAATCATTGATCAATAAGAGAAAACCCCAAGATAGGTAGGTTATTACCTCGATAAGCAGTACGCAAACGCCAATACTGTAGATAATGAACGTACAAAATTCAGAAGCCGTTGCTTGACAGCTTGACTTGGTGCAGAAGGTAGAATAACTGGGTCCAGTACTCTGTGAAGATCAGTTACTGTTATAAAAAGATCTAGTAATATCATAGCTACATACAAGTTCTCCAAAGATGCTACTTTCACCTGCATATAATTACAGCACCTCCCCATAGCAACAAAGGCTGAATATAAGATGTCATCACCTGTTGTTCTTTACTCTTGTTCCAACTATTATCACTTTTCTGTATAAAGTAATTATGGGGTCAGGCAATTAGACACTTAAGATCATAAGACCAAATCTGATCTATAAACGTACTTGCAGAAAAAGGATCCTGCACACACGCATTAAAGGTCCAAGACCCCATGCAGCAAAAGCAATAATTCCAACAGCTGGAATCAGTTGCACTACAAGAGACCGGCCATGAAAAGCTTCATAAGACCTGCAGCAAACAAGTTATACATTTAATAATAACAGCAGAGAGAATCGCATTCATCAACCAGAATCAGGGAAAGGAAGCATAAAAAACATGATATCATTAACTGGATCACTCATTCATTTCACTCAAACACCTAGTTCAATAAAAGAAAAATAGAAGGAAAAAGGGAAGGAAAAAAATGTGCAATTATTAAACAAATACCTACAGTCTAAAACATGAATTCATTGAAGACTTCATATTGTTAAGAATTAGAGATGCAAACACATAAAGGGAAATGAAAACACCTAGCAGGTTCTATTTATGGAACCCATAATTAGATAGTAATTTTGCTGCATAACCCTAAAAAGATAAAATAAAGGGAAATGAAAACAGTTAAGAATTAGAGATGACACATAAAAGGGGAAAACCACCTTGTCAATACTGTAGCAGCTGTTTTTAAGATAGGAATCTGGTTTCCTCCATTTGGTGTGAAAAGAGATCGACAAACTAAAATGTTACACCTACTTGGCACTGGTTTTATAGATTCCCGTATGGTCAAAAGATGTACACTCCAAGCCTCTTGTAGCTGCAGATGCAACAGACATAATCATGATCCTAACACCATTTATAGTAAATTTCAGAAGTAGATCTGAAGGGTTATTAATGGCATATGCATAAGTACTTCCTCCACCCCAAAATAAATGTCCACATACTTTAACGTAAGTGTTTGACTATTTGGCATATATTTGAAATGCCCTTCAACAATGAAACTTTTGAGTTTTGAGGAACCTTACTTTGGTCTATAAGGTTCCTCAAAATCACTCTCTAAACCTTAATTTGGTCTACAAGGTTCCAAACATGAAAGGGCCTTTTTGGTCATTATTTTGGTCTATAGGTCATTTCATGTTTGGAAACTCTACCACAAAAGACAACATTGCAGTTACTTTGTGATATTCGGAAAACGACATTGTTGTGTTTGTTATGTTACGGGGAAACAATTTATCTAGAGAATATTAACGCAAATGCAAGTCACACATGGATTGTATCACATGTTCACACATACAAGAGGTCAAGGATCCACCAAATGTTACCAATGCTAAGTGATATACAGCATAAGACAAAAACAAGCAATCTCTTAGAAACATACCGAGGTATTGGATGAAAGACTGCCTGCAAAAATATGTGTGTGTCCCTTATATCTCTTTCCCTGGAAAGGTTTTAGAAAAAGAATTATATAACAGATAAAAAGTGAAGTATGTGAAACGTATTTGAAGTTCTCTAGTTTGTTATTTATCTTAGGCTATCAGTTAATTAGTTATGAGAAAAAGATAAGCAATAACCTATGTATAAAACCGTGCACCTTAGGTTGGCTGCCATATACAGTACTTCTATTGATCCCCAGTTCCCGGGAAAACAGCAAAGAACCAGTTGTAGCCATTACTGAGGAGATTGTAGACAAAAAAGATGCAATATTTTCAGAACTTAAGACGTAATGTAGACTTGGATCCTGCGCTAAGCAGAAGTTAGCAAAATGGCACTAAAGTTTCAAATATAGGTTCTGAATATATCAAATAAGTGCCAAAGCTGCCAACAAGTAAGCATAGGAACTGAATTCTTTAATGTAACATACTTGTACCAAACTGAACCTGGACCAAACCCCTGATCCTAATGGAACACTGAATCACACATGTCTATTAGTAGGTACAACATGGGTTTGTTTGAAAAAATCTTCCTATCAAGTGCACATTCAACTTTCAGAAAGCTGAGTACTCTAACTTCATGAATTGTCACACCTAGTACTTTTTGGATGCAGTGGATATATTGTAAAATTTCTCGCCGACATTACTTAATGTATAATACTTGTTTAAGCAAAATAAACAATTAGAAGCCTGAAACTAAAGGCAATTTTTCTTAAAGTGTCCAAGAGTGATAGCATTTAGCCTTTTACCAAAAACCAAGGGCAGATCAGCAACAACCATGGTAATAGTGTCTAAACAAATCGATATACATAGTTCCAGATATAACCACCAAACAACCAGTCATACTTCGAAAAGCCAAACAAAATGCTACAAAACTCAATCCATGAGCAAACTAAAAGTTAACAGTTTCCATTTTCAAGTTGAAGAATGGAGAGTAACCATTCAGCATTCAAAATTGAGATCTTGGCTCTTCCTTCTTAAGGTATGAAGTATCATGAGAAGGAACACGTTCACAGTGACTAAGCAAATCACAGTATATATTTCCAGATGCCATTACCAAGCACCAACACCCACTATGAAAAGCCAAACAAAGAGCTACATAAATCAATCCACAAGCAAAACAGGAAAAAGAATACGCATACATGTAACTATCAATAATTAACAATCTACACACACACAAGAAGGGGAAAAACCAAAACTAGAGCATCAAAAATTGTTACAAAATATTACATGGCACAATACATTAATCAATAACTATAACCAGTTTACCAAACGAGAAATAATTAAAGAATTTAGGCAATCAATACATCCAAATATTCTGTAAACTATAGATAACAACTAAAAACGATCATTTTGAACATGAATCAATGAATGCATCAAATCGAACCAATAATTAACCTGAATACCTGATCACGAACTATACAACAGAGATCTGAGAGAGATTTCGACGAATTAAGTGTATATGAGAAGGTTTTCCGGCGGACTTTTTGACGGTGGAAGTTCGAGGAGAGTAGATTTTTCCAATAACTTGCGCCGTTGAGGAAACAAAGAGGACTACTGAATATGGATAAATGCGTATATGCTTCGGGTGACGTGGCAGAAAGGAAGACGACGGTAGTAGCTAACATGCGCTGTATGTGCTTTTTTTATCTTGCTTCACTGAGTCGCGGAAAATTGGCCACACAAATGATGCTAAAATTAATACGTTTAAATAAAACGTGCAGAAATTGGTCGGCGTTTGGGTGGATATAGCCCGACCCGGAGACCCGGTTCTGAAAACGTGGATATCCTTTTTGCGTCTATACAAGCAAACATTGGTACAGTACAATTATTCAGTATTTGATAAAACATAATTTGATTAAATAGAACAAGTAAAATGTCTAATTTATTTGTAATAAGTTGTTTATATATTTTGATAAATTTATGTAAATTATAATAAAATAATTATTTTTTATAACAAAATATATCATTAAAAAGTTTCGTCAAAACAATTGAAATGACACCAAAATAAAAATGTTTATGTAGCTTCTATTTTTTATTTTTATTTTCTACATTATTTTTTATTATCAATGTATAATTAATTACATAAATTAATAAAAATATATAAATCGTATAAAAATAATATTTTGATGACAGTAAAATATAAGTTCAAGAAAACATAAAATACAATAAATAAAGTTTAAAAACCGAATAAAATGTAAAAAAGACGACTTATTTGATGTTTTAGAAAAATAATTATGTTTTATTTTAATAAGACTATATTGATAGATGTAAGACTGTACCAACTTCTTTCACCCGGTTCCATTGGGTAGGGGTGGATGTTCCACATAAAAATCTTGTCAAATATGAAACAGAGATCTCTGTTCTGGTTTGTTACATCATGTCCAGTCTACCAAACACAACAAATAGGTACCATCATGTGTTGGATATCCGTTTTTTAAAACTAATTCTTATAATAACTTGCAATTTCCTTTACAACAAAGAAATTCAATACTTATAAGGAAAGCTCAAACTCCTTTGTTCAAATTCCTTGGTGATGTTTGGTTCACGGAATGAACTGATTGGATTCCACCAAATTCCACGGTTGAAAGATTTGATCGTTCCTTGGCTAAATTGAAGGAATTGAATTCCATTCATTGGCAAGTGTAACATATTTTGTAATTTGGTTTTAAAGAGACAAAAATTATTTTTGCAACCAATTTAACCAACATCACCTACCCCAACCCACCCTACGCTACCCTACCCTACCCTACCCCCACGGGTACCACGCCACTATCATTCACAAATCACCATCACAGCCACCACCCACCACACCCTACCCCCGCCACGACCACGCTACTCTACTATCATTACGCTCGCCACCCTTAACCGCTACCCCCACCCAAGGTTCAAAAAGGCATGAGGCTTGGTGTGGCGGTGAGTTAAGGCCTCAAGCCTTACACGCCATGGTGAGGACCCGACGTTTTTCAAGGCGTGACATAATGCAGCAAATTTGTATGTCATAAATAGAATTTTATATATATATATATATATATATATATATATATATATACTAGTTATGTACCCGCGCAATGCGGCGGGAGCCATGAATTTTAACGATTTTGAAGTTCCATTGGTTTTATAAAATAAAATTTAATGATGATATAGTTACACTTGGTCTTTACATATTAATACAATTTGAATAAATAAGAGTTATGGTTCCAATTTACAGACTATCGATGAAAAAAATTGCATGCAGTTTAAAATTCAATATATTTAAAATCCAACATATTTAAACGACTCCACAAATGTGTTCAATTTACACCAAGAACAAAGAACCAAGAAACTTGAGTTTTAAGATAAACACTCAAAACCAATAAAGAAAAACTACAAATTTGACAAATTATAAGCCATGAAAAGACCAAAAAAGATGA